AGGGGACATATTTGGTCATTGCTTGGACCAAGGATTAAGCTTCAAGATGTAATCAGAATACAATACAAACCCACATCAAAACTTGGAAAAAGGATCTAAAAAAACCCACCTCAGAATTCATTGAACAAAAGAGGAATCTCAGATGAATCCCAATAATCAATCATAGCCATGATAGTCACATAAGAAATAAACCCTGAAGGAACAAAACAAACACACACATGTACTGATTATGTATTAAGAATCAGAACCTGGTTATTTGCAGGATTCAAAGAGGAGACAACAGGGCCATTTCCTTTCCAGGTACCATTAACGTAACTTCCCAGAGTCCGAGAACTCAACCCGATCTCACACAAAAACTCGTACTCTTTGTTTGCGAAACTCATCTCTGCATTAAAAAACACGGGACAAACCAAATTACAAATCTTGACGAGCTATATTCAGTAAAGCAAGATACTTCATTCTTATACAAGTAACCCGGGGCTCTAATCTTCTCGTTTTTCATTTAAAAAAAATCCATTTTCTCCGAAGAAAAACACATGATTGGGAAACGGGTGCCAAATTTGGCATCAAAAGTAAGGATCGAAAGAAAGTTTCTACCTTGGTTTCCTGAAAATTTGCTTTGCAACCAAACAGCGTCAGTGAAACAAAGCAGCTAACTTTAGCAATGAAGAGGAAATGACAGGTGGGTGGGTTTTTTATAAGGAGAAAAATGAAATTGAAACAGAGGAGACGTGAAGGTGAAGATCATAGCGGGGAAAGGGAAGAAGAGAGACGTGTAATTTAGGAGGACTGCTTTGGGATTAGACCGAGGATGATTTGTCCATTTTATCCATCTGGATCATATATATATATATATATATATATAATATTTAGTATGTACTAATGTATGATCATCTTATAATTAAAATTTAGATTTTGATCTTAAATTATCATTAAATTAAAATAATTGCGGAGCCCAAATCCGTTCACGGATCCTCCATTTTTTATATTCAAAAACATGAATTAAATTATAAAACACTAGT